CTCCCACTGTCCTCTTGACATATAAGACTCCCTTGTCAAATATTCAAGAGATAGTGCGGATTCTTTATCAAGACTAACACTTTACACAATTGGCCTAAGTTGGTCTCTGTTTTATCCAAAACATCACAACTTACCAATTTCAAATGTACAAGAGTAGATAACCTTTTACTCTTACATTTGACTAGTGTTAACAAACCCTCTTTAAGATATGTCACTCAAGTTACAATCTTGGAGTATGACTCTAAGAATTGTTTTGGAACGAAGTATGACTCATCTTTTTGATTTAACCATTTCAACAATTCATGACTCCTCTTCTTGACTTTAGAGGACCAATTGTGATATGGTATCTTAATCATTAAGATGATCATAAACATGATACTAAAGTACTCTCCCATCTTTTCAGATTTGAGAAACTTTTATCTTTCTGCCATACTTTGATTCTTCTTATTCGTTCGTCTCACATTGAAACTTCTCCAATGCTACAGACTTATACTTAAACTTATAAGTATAACCATATTTACTGAACTTAAGTAAATCATGACGAATAGTCTTCTTGATCTTTTGTGGTGGACTTGACCAGTGCACAAGAATGTGTACTCGATCCCTTAGTCCTTTCCTTATTCACATAAGGAATTAGTCTTAATTTTCCAAGCTGAAAGTTCTCATTCATCATACTATACAACTTGCATGATTCCAAGTTTCGGTCCAATTGAACCTTGGGTGATGAGAATCTTTCCTTATTTGGTAATATTAGACACTACCACAACCGAAAGAATCAAATCCATTTTTCCAATATTGCTATCAATGGAATCTTATAAGCAACAACTTTTCACAAATGCCATTGTAAGGATACTTAAAATAAATAAAATCAAAACCTTTTTCTTTTATTTTAAAACTTTGCGGAAAAACTTATCCTTACAATCCATATGAAAACCTTGTTGTTATCTATTCCTAAGCAATATAAATATCATAACTCTTAAGTAATAGCCCAAAATTCTGATCACCGAACCATGCGATTGAAATCCATCTTCGCGATCAGAATCAGCATGTACTTAATAGAGTTAGACAATGGACTTTACCTGAAGTAGAGCCAAACTTATTGACTTTAACATCCTTAGGTAAATTTGGCAGCTTCGTAACCAATGCCCCTTCCTTTGGCAATAGTTACCTATGGATCCTTGATAATGGGACTATCTCAGACTTCGCCTCTCTCTTTACCATTGGGTCAACCGAGTTGACTATGGCCGATCCCTTTCCATTGTCTTGTCTTAGTCTGTTTCATAGGATTCCCAAAAGAACTCACTATGTGACTTAGAAAGTAGTTGAGCCACCAACTTTCTCAAGACTTTGACACCCAACTCTCCCGGCTTGTCAATATGTGACTACATCTCCAAGATGTGATCACACCTAGACCTTGCCTTGCCAATAGGGCTTGAGTGACCTTAAACTTTTTAGGAACTTGTGGGTTAGGGAGAATAATTGGAGGAGGTGAAAGAAGTATGATATCCATGGGACATCATCTTCATTTAGGAAAGCTTGTTTCAAGAGATTTGGGAAGATCATAAATGTCTAGACCAGACATCTTTTTGGGAGATATTCAAGATAGTTGATTTAAAGTCCTTAATATGACACCCAATATGAAATATTAAGGCTAGGACCCAACAAACTATTTTATAACTTAGAAGAGGGATGCCGTAATCCAAGCTATAAAATATTTGAAGGTAGGTGAATGACGATTCACCAATTTCCACCATGAAAAACGAAATAATTTATTAGGTTTTAATTGGATTTGAAAGTCCTAGATCTTTGAGATTCATTGAACTGTTCAAAGGCATGTTTCAATCTCGAGTGTGCCCTTCAGGTTTTGTGACTGGGATGCCGAGGATCACAAAACAAGGTGTGAATAACCATGCAAATATACTTGGTACCCTTAATATTTACCCCTTAATCAGTGTGCCGGTTAACCACACACGCTCCACCGATACTATGATAAATATTAAGTTACCCTTTGCCTACCTTGTTAAGTCCAGGTTAGTGTGTCCGGTTAACCACACACGCTCCACTAACGACTTAAGCAAAGTGCAAAGTGTAATTTCATGGGTTAGCACCAAATTCACATTTTCCTAAGTAACTAAGATTGGGTATTAATAAGAGTTTAGTTACTTAGTATTTATCATTAATACTTTTAATGAAAGGAGAATTATAGTCCTTGTCCTACCCGTTCGGCTAACGACCCTCCACCAGTTAAGGAAGCGGTGGGTGAGAGTGGACACCCATTAAACTGCCATTTTATAGGCAGTAACCTTATACCCCCCTTATAGACTGGCTTCGTGAATGAGGCCTACTAACGGTAAGACTGACTTTACTCTTATACATATATATAAATATTATTAACTTATAATATTATAAAGTATAAGGGTTGAATTTTAACTTTTAAAATTCTAAGGGCTAACTTGGAATTAAAGTATTCATAAGTGAAAACTTTTCAAATTCCAAAACTTGAGGGCAAGTTTTGAAACTATTCAAAACTAATTAATTCCATAACTTATGAGTTTAAAGTAGTTTTAATTAAAAAAAAAAACTCTTCAAGTTCCATAACTTGAGGACAAGTATGGAAGACTTTAAACTAATTAATAAAAAAAATAACTTTTTTTTATTGTAACTTATGGAACTAATTAAGGTTACACTTTGTTTTTTTTTTTAATTTAATGAAGAGACTCTTCATTTTGTAACATTTGCCAACTTTTATGAGTTTTATGATTCTTAAATGTGACTTTTCATATAACTTGAGGACAAGTTACAAAAACACACTTTGGAATCAACTCTTAGATTAAAATGGATTGAAAACAACTATTTCACACAACTTTTCTATTAATCTAAGAACCTCATAAGAACAAGATAATTCAAATCATCAATCTTCAAGAAATTAGCATGAACATACAAACTAATACAAATCTTGAAATTATGACAATTATCTTAGAAATTGGATTAGCATGAACATTACCACATCAAAAACAAAATTATAAGTCCAAAAACATCTTAGGGTAATGTTCCTAGTCCAATTCCAGCCAAAACAATCGAATATATGCATCCAACTCGATTTTTTAGCTACTTTTGCAAGTATAACAAGAAAACAAGCCTAGGCTCTGATACCACTGTTGGGTTTTGAGCATTCTAACACTCCTAAGTGTACATGCAACCCTAAATACCTTGGATCTATGTTTTCTCTATTATACATACAATTATGAACATCCAAGGTATTATCCTAATCTAGCATACAAAATAATAAATATAACAAGATAGAATACATACCTCTTTGAAGTAGAATGTCTTCATGAAGCTTGAGTGCCTAGTGCCCCAAGTGTGACACCTCAAATGGTTCACACAACACCAAATACACTTGGAATAACTTGAGAGAAACTTGAACACTCCTTGAAATCGTCTAGCCCTCACACTCACACATTAGTGCACGATTTCTTGAGCCATGAGATTCTTTTATATGGTGGCTATTAGGGTTACACCATGTAACTCATAACTTTACCCATTCCTTATGCTCCATGGATTTTAACCTCCATGGAGTATCCATGGGTCACCCCATGGACTTAGTCCAACATAAGGAATCTTGGATCACAAGCCCACATATATAAGAATGAATGATTTACACAATCAACCCATATATTTAATTAGTCTCCTTTTGATCACTTAATTAATTCCAAATTAATTCTTGATCAATACTAATTAAATAACCTTATTAATATATTAGAACTTATAATATATTAACCAACCTTAAGTGTTATTTCTCTCACTATAGTCTATCCAAATGCATGATGCCATGCAACCCAAATGGACCATGTCGGGTCGGGTCAAGTCTTACCAATTATAGTTATGGACTTAGACATTAATCCAACAAGTGTTACATCCTAATACCCATGACTCTTCATTTACCTAGGATCCATAGGTTAAAAGCTCCATGGACTATCCATGGACTTCCATATACTCTTAGCCTATCCTAAATAAATCTTAGCCCATTCCATATATATGCAAGAGTCCATATTTAATTAGTTCCATTTGATCATTGAATTAATTCTTGATCAACACTAATTAAATAATATTAATATATTATAACAAATAATATATTAATGGATCATAAGCATCTTATTCTCAACAATATATCCATACAAATTGTTAGGTGAAGTGCAACCCAAATGGACCATGCCGGGTCGGGTCAAGTCATACCAAATATAGTTACGGACTTAGACACCTTATCCAACACACTGTTTATCAGATGGACGTTAAGACCGCGTTTTTATATGGAGCTGTGAAAGAGGAAATTTATGTTGATCAACCTCCTGGTTTTTTCAACTCAAAATTTCTAAATCATGTCTACAAATTAGACAAGGCTCTGTATGGGTTACATCAGGCTCCTCGATTTTGGTATGCTACTCTAACAGATCATTTGCTTGAGCATGGTTATACTAGAGGCACGATTGATCAGACGCTCTTCATCAAGCATGTGGATGCCGACCTAATTCTCGGGTCGACAAGCTCGAATCTATGCAAAGAGTTCGAGGTTGTTATGAAGAAGAGATTTGAGATGAGTTCTTTGGGAGAAATGACCATGATCTTGGGGCTGCAAGTTCGACAAGATTCAACCGGAATCCTTTTGCATCAAGGAAACCATGTTGAAGACATGCTTGAGAAGTTTGGGTTTAAAGATTCTAAAGTTTCCTTGACGCCGATGGCTGAACGACCCTTGTTGACTCCAAATCCTGATGGAGAATCCATAAATATAATAGAGTATAGATCGATTATCGGATCCCTAATGTATCTGAATGTGAGCAGCCCATACATTATGTTCGCAGTCTGCCAATGCGCCCGTTATCAGGCTAATCCTAAACTCTCTCATTTAATTAAACCTGGCTTAGTTATATTCTTCATTCTGCCTGTGAATTTTGACCAAATTCAACCAAAGATTCAGATTAAAACCCTAAAATAGACCCATGCAAATTTTAGTTAGCAATAGGAGTTTTTGGTTTATGTTTAAAATTTTTTGGTTAGTAATACCAAAATTTTCAAAATATTAAAGAAGCCTGAGCAATAGAAAGTAGTGAAATTGAAATTGTTTTGGCAGGTAATTGTGGTGTCTGGTGAAACGGGGTGTGGTAAAACCACACAACTACCTCAATACATCTTAGAGTCTGAAATTGAAGCTGCTCGTGGAGCAGTTTGCAGTATTATCTGCACCCAACCCAGACGAATATCTGCTATGTCAGTTGCTGAGAGGGTTGCTGCAGAACGAGGGGAGAAGCTTGGAGATTCTGTGAATAACTTTTCTCTCTCACACTTTTATAAAGTTTCTACGTCTCAATATTTATAATAACATTTTTTTCTTTTTTCCTTTTTGAAGGTTGGGTATAAAGTTCGGCTTGAGGGAATAAAAGGAAGAGATACTCGCCTGCTGTTTTGCACTACTGGCATTTTGCTTAGGAGATTACTACTCGACAGGAGCTTGCAAGGCGTAACTCATGTCATTGTTGATGAGATCCACGAACGAGGGATGAATGAGGGTGGGTAATTTATTTATTTATTTATTATTATTTTTTTTGTTAAGTATATTTATTAATTTTCATTTCATGGCAGATTTTCTTCTTATCGTGTTGAAGGAGCTTCTTCCTCGCAGACCAGAACTGAAGTTAATTTTGATGAGTGCAACCCTAAATGCTGAGCTTTTCTCCTCCTACTTTGGTGGAGCTCCAATGATGCATATTCCTGTAAGTTTCTCATGTTAACAAAAAATGAAGGCGTTTAATAATAATACTATTACTATGCCTTTATTGGTAATTTCTTGTTGGCAGGGTTTCACTTATCCAGTTCGGAGCTATTTTCTGGAGAATATTTTAGAAATGACTGGATATAGGCTGTCAACATATAATCAAATTGATAATTATGGCCAAGAGAAATCATGGAAAATGCAGAAACAAACTCTTCGTAAAAGGAAGACCCAAATTGCTTCAGCTGCGGAGGTAGTATAGGAGTATTCACTTGTTTGTTTGTTTTTTTTAAAAAAAAAAAAAAAAAATGTGGTTTGGAAATTGGAACAGGATGCTCTTGGAGCTGCTGATTTGAGAGAGTTAAACCCGTGGACTAGGGATTCCCTGTCATGTTGGAACCCGGATTCAATTGGGTTCAATCTTATTGAGAATGTTGTTTGTCATATATGTAAAAAAGAAAGGCCAGGTGCTATTTTGGTGTTTATGACTGGTTGGGATGATATAAATTCTAAAATTTCCAAATGAAGTTTTAGGTATCTCAAAGGTAGACAAAAACTGGGTCTTTGGTATCCTAAAAATTCTGATTTTGATTTATATGCATTTGCTGACAGCAATTATGGAGGTTGTGAACTTGACAGGAAATCAACCTCAGGGGGATGTTGATTCCTAGGAGACCGTTTGGTGTCGTGGGAATGCAAGAAACAACAAACTGTCTCAACCTCAACAGCTGAGGCAGAATACGTTTCTGCCTCTGCCTGTTGCTCTTAACTTATCTGGATTCAACACCAACTTTTGGATTACGGTTTGCATTTTCTAGAAACCCCAATCTTTTGTGATAATGATGATGCAATCCAAATAGCTAAAAATCCTGTCCAACACTCCACAACCAAGCACATCGACATCAAAGTTCATTTCATGAGATATTGTTATGAGCGTTCGCTCATCCGTTTGGAACAGATTCACACTGATAATAATGTGGCGAATCTGTTCACCAAACCGTTCGACAAAGCTCAATTTGATGTGCTTGTGGGCTTTTTCAAAATGAAACGTTTTGAAGACTAATTTTTGTTTTAGGTTGGTTTAAATTTGCGCATTTTTTTCCTTTCTCTCCTATACACAAATTTAGGGGGAGAAATAAAAACACAAAAAAAAATCATAAAATACAAAAATCCAAAAATATGTTCTAATGGAGGTTGTCTGCAGGTAATTAGTTGGGAAGTGACATTAACCAAGTGATAACAGACAATTTTAATTTGTGTAAGGTACCAACGCTGAACTGTGTAGGCTCTGTGTTCAATGCGCTAGTAGGCACGAAAGATTTCAATGGACCAGACTAGGCATAGATTGACATTTAAAAGGACTTGACAAATATTGAGTTAGATAGTTCCGTTTGGTCTTACAATACGACGCTCGGGTAGATTGAGCAGTGAGATATACATGGGAATCTGCGGGATACACTAAAGTAATCTATATCTACAACTGTGGCGTAACTTTTCCTTGATGAATGGATTCATGTCCTTAATTCTGGTACTGATAGGGCGACTGGGGAATTCTGATAAAGTAGGTATGTAGAAGGTTATTTTCTTGCTTTCTTTCTGTCAGTCATATGTTGCTTCCTCTGCGTGATTGGAAGAGATCCGACCTAGACTGCAACTTATGCAACTCTATTCTATGCATCTCCTTCTATATATGCAATTATTTATGTATGTTAGTCATATGTTGTCTCCTTTGCATGATAAGTTTTTATACGACCTGGAACACAACATATGTAACATTCTATTTCTCAATCCCTCTAATTCAGTTATTCATATGTTAATCCCTCTGCGTGATTGGAAGAGATCCGAACTAGGAATAAGACATATGCATTTCAAAATTCATCTTCTTCCTTAATAATTGTCTTCTCATCTGAAGTAAGGAGTATTTTGGATATCCTTGATTACCGGAGTATATCAGGAAGCGGGAAGCACATTCTAGTACATCTAAAATTGAACATTTAATAGGTTGTCTGTAGATCTCGCTGCTAAATTTAGGTGAACAACAATATCCTTGGTCGTCGTCAGCTAAATGGTCTCTCTAGGAGTATTATTTAGGTATATAGGTTCAAAAGTCTTGTCACTTGTAGCATGTCCAAATTTGTCATAATCTTTCGTGTTTAAGTGGACCCCAATGCCGACGATTGACCAGATCTATTCATGAAGGTGGAGGTACTGAAAATCAGATTAAGGCTGTCTTAAAACTTTGATCCCAAAATCGTAAAAATAATATTAGTAATGGTGAAGAGAAATTAGTGTTATTTAATTTTAATTTTAATATCATTTTTATTTTTATTTTTATTTTTATTTTTATTTTTATTTTTATTTTTTATTTTTATTTTCTTAAAAATTATAAATTAAACAAAATTATTTTAGTTTAAATTTTTAGATTTTATTTTATTTTTAATTTTAGTTTTAATTCTTCAAAATGTTTTTTTCATTTTAATTAAATTTGGATGTATTGGGTTTGGGCTTGAAGCTTTTTGGTTTACAATGCATGGGTTGTGGGCCGGAAATGGTCCAGTGTATAAAAGGTAAGGTTTCCGACTGAATACCCTACTACCCTCACTTTTTCATTCTCAGCCGCAAACCCTTCCCACTTCTCTCTCACGAGTTACTATTTATCATCACCGATTCATCATCTTTATGCGTTTTTCATCTGAAATTGATCCTTGAATCTTATAGGTACTGCAAAGGCGACCCCCACTATGTTAAATCTCACCTGAATCAATTGCGTTTTGCAAGATTTGGAAGCAGAAACGATTTTCGGCATCGAACTGCGTTTACGGCTGCAAACCGTTAACAACCGTAAACCATTCACAGCTGTAAAGTCATTTACGGCTGCAAACTTGTTTTTAGCCATAAACTTGTTTTTCATCCAAATAAAATTAAATTAAGGTCTAATCAATTGATAATTGAGAAAATATAAATGTTAATTGATTAACTCATTAGTTTTCTCACTTGGCTTGTTTGGTGCAGAACAAATGGCAGACTTGAAATTTTCGGATAACCACAACATTGTTGCTTTCTTGTTTGAACCTCCAGCAGCACACCAATAATTTAGGTCTATGATTCATGGACTTAAGAGATGATGTCTTGGATATGATTTCACGTCAAATCCCATCATTCATCAAGACTTAGTGAAGCAATTTTGGAACAAGGCTTCTGTGAGTAAAGGAGAAGATGAAGAAGACACGGTGAAATCTGTTATTCAAGGAAAGAAAATTTTAGTGTCTTAGCAAACTATTTGTGAAGTGCTGCAAATCAATGACCAGCCAGGGTTTCAAACTGAGATTTCTATGGAACAAACTGAAGAGATTCTCGAAAGAATGGGTTATGAAGGAGTGTTTCCACCTACCTTGAAGAAGCTGTTGCCTCCTTACTGGCGATTTCTTGCTCACTCCTTCATAATTTGCATCTCAGGCAGGAAATCTGGTGCTGATGAGATTTCCCTATTAAACACTGGTGCTATTACTGCTCTTGCCATGAGTCTCGAGTTCAACTTTTCAAGATACATTTTGAATGAGATGATGAGCAATTTAGAAGGAAAAAGGAAGGACAAATTTCTGATGTTCCCAAGGTTTCTGCAGATGATATTTGACAGTAAATATCCAGTGTTAGAAAGAATAGGTGAAACTTTAGACTTGAAGTCTTTGGGTGCTAAGACTTTTGGTCTCATGAAACAAAACCGCAAGGGTACGAAATTTCTATTCCCAGGAAAGTACACACTGGAGAAGTTTGGCCAGTTTGCGGAGATCAGTGAAGAATCTGAATCAGTTAGCTCCTCAGATAATGAAGATGATGAAGATGATGTTGTTACCGCTTCTGAGCATGAAGAAGACCCTGTTCCTCCTGTTGCAATTGTTGTCGAGGAACACGTACCGATGACAAATGTGGAGATAAATAATGATGATGATGCGACTGATGATGATGAAGGTGAAGATATGATGAATCTATGGGATGATGTACTTGACTTTGATGATGATGGGGATGATGATGCAGCTAATATGGATCAAGGTGGTGATCAATCCGGATTTGATGGTGATAACTTATTCTTCGAATTCGAGCATGGTGATGATTTCAGGCCAAGTAATGAGGAACTCAATGCGTTCTTTGATGATGTCTATGATGTTGCACAACCTACAATGGAGACTGAGGGAGCTAGTAATGTTCTCAAAGTGCAGCCTCCAACGATCGATCAGATGACCGACACTTCAACTAATCTGGATTCAACTATAAGGATTCCTCCCCTTACAGTTGCTAATCCAGCCACTTTGCCATCTGAAGGTGATCTTAGCATGAAACAAGCGTTCTAGCCTCCTCTCAAAAGGAGAAGAGCCGATCCAAGGTCAGCAGTGTTGATTAAGGAACAAGCTTCGTCGGCCCAACAATCTTTTTCAACTGCTACACGGACCTAAAAAGCTCATGGTTTGAAAGAAGGACCAAGTAATGTTCGATCTTTGTATGAAGCCGGGAGTTCTTCAATTCCTGGGGGTTCCTTTCCACCACAACCTGCGCACGATGCTTCCTCCTAGAGGCTTGCTAGGTTCATGGCTCAACAAGATTCTGACCCTTCACCCCGAGGCAAAAGGTATATCTATAGGTGAAGGAAGTTTAGGGGGAGCGGACCCATCAACTTTTGAGCTCAATGAGAAGATCAGAATTCTAAATCAAAATCTTATCGAGAAGGATGTTTTGATGGGAAATCTTGACCTCAGAGTTTCCGAGCTTGAAGAGGAAAATATTCAAAAATCAAAACAGATATCCAACTTGCAGCTAAATTTGGGTGCATTATCTGATGGGTACTTCGACCTGAAAAACAAGCTAATCAGTGAATTTAGCGACAAATTGAAGACATCGGTCGTTAAACTAAATGCAGTAGAACCTTCTCATTGTGCTCCTTCCCAAGCTGCTCAAGATCCACCTATTGATCAACCTATCAGAACCACAAGAATTGTTGACCGATTTGAGAATGAACCGGCTCAAGCCAATCCAAGAGTTATTCTCAAACGAGCTCAGAAACAGGTATCTTCACAAAAGAGCAGGAAGTGGCTCTTCATGAAAAATTCAGATCAAAATGTTTGTGGAGACCAGCCCCAACTGACTGTAACTGAGCTCGGAAAGAAGCGGTTCAGAGATAAGTATGGTGACCTGTCAGGAATTCTAATGTGGGGTTTTCACAAAAGAGGGGAAATGGCTTTTCTTCTTGGACAAAGGTGGACCTCACTGAACTTGCCGATGCTCCATTTTCAAACACAACTAATGATCCACTGAGGAACGGATTTCAAACTCTTCTTAGAAAATCAAGTAAAGAGGAAATTCGATGGAATGAAGACAACCGAATCCTTCGTGAAAAGACCCAAAGATGTTTTTGACCCTAAGACCAACAAGAGCTTCAAGATCGTGATGAAGCCTCCTATAAAGCAGATGAAACAGATTCCTATTGTTAAGCATTTTTGTGATCTGAGGATAATACGGAGTTTTGGGTTTATG